ATGATGATTATTATCATTATTATTATTATTATTATTATTATTATTATCATTATTATTATTATTATTATTATTATTATTATTATCATTATATATGTATGTATACTTTTATATATAATATATAAAACTTTTTTATAATATATATCCTCCTGTGTGAGACAGCAAAGCACCTCAGCGCCACACTCAAGACACCAGTCCAACAACAGAGACTCACCGTTGACGTTGGTGCTGTCGCACAGATCTTCGTCTGCATGGCCGTTACAGTTATTGTCCACGCCATCTCCAGGAGTCTGCGCGGTTATTTGGCAGGCCTGTGGATACGAGAAAGAAGTATTCATTTCGTTTTGCACACAAAGCAAGAGTCAATAAATAAATGGAAGCGTTCAATTCTTTTGCACACAAAGCAAGAGTCGATTAATAAAATATGGAAAAGTTCATTTCTTTTGCAAGAAAAGCAAGAATCGTTCTTTTAATTTACGGAAGTGTTCATTTCTTTTTGCATGCAGAGCAAGCGTTATCTTTAAAAAACGCTGGGGGCTCTCGTGGCCTAGAGGTTAAGGTGTTTGGCCTCTCATTCAAAGGTCCCGGGTTCGAATCTGGGTAGCGACCGAAACATTTTCTTCTCTAAAATTGTCTCCTTTCCCCTCCTTTCCTGCTCCCTAGCAATGTTCTGTTGTCTGCTGAATTTTTCTGAAAAACGTCTATTAAAGGCATAAAAAAAGTAAATTTTCAGTTACCACGGACTCTTAAGCTAAGGAAATAACTAATCTATGGTGGCCACTTTCTCACTAATTTTTCCTCTGAAAACAAGTGACCCCCACCTCCTTCATTCGCAAATATCTCGACTTGTATTCAAGATAAATGGATATTTTTTTCATCCAAATAAAGACAAGTGCACAAGCTTTAAGATGATACTAATAACTCTACATGGCCAAAAATTGATGAGAGCCTGATTCCACTACGCTGTCTCACATATTTGTATAAACCGACTTGATGACACCCGTGGCAAAATAGACCCGAAGAGAAACAATGGAGGAGCTCCTACTTCATTCTTTGAAAACAGAAAAATCCGATGGTAGTCTACAACTTTTTAAACTTAAAAGCCAACGCAGCGCACCAATTCAGCTCGTGTTATTTTTTGTGTTGTTTTGGAGGTGGGTGGTAAAGTTTTTATTTTGTTTTTACAGTCGCAGTCAGAACAAACATTAACTCAGCAAATCCATCGCATCTCAAATGTATATTTACTACTTGGATCATTCACTTCTACTTAATTTGATGTTTATTTTACGCTAATAGGCTACCTAGTGGCGTAAGTTATTGGAATTTTGTGATGCTGAAAACTGAAGGACAAAATTGGCTGCGCACAGACGAGGAATATCCTACCGTATACTTAGAGTTAATGCTGCTTTAAAGCAGACATCTGGACAGATTGAAGTCTGTTGTAACAAAGAAAAAAGAAAAGAATTATTTTTAGCAATAAAAAATAGAATTGCAGTAAAAAAAAAAAAGGGTAACTTTTCATTTATTTCACGTTGTAGGGGGTAGGAGCTCCAATCATATCACAAATACGCCATGGTAACATGACGACAGGGGCAGAAATCAATTAATTATCCTTTTTACTTCTATTCGTTTTGTGTCACAAAAATGGTAGGTAGTATAATAATAATAGGTAGCATTTGTATAGCGCATATCCCCGCTCAACAGCAGGCTCTATGCGCTTTACACTATATTATTACCCCAGCAGACCATAGAACACTCCGAAACATTCTCAGCTTCCCGGGAAGCATACAAGTAAAGTAATACGTATAATAATAAATAGCATTTATACTGCGCATTTCCATTTCCTAAAAGATGCTCAATGCGCATCACATCTTAAAAATTAAACGACAAGTGTGTACGTAAAACAAAGTATTATACATAAAATATAATATAAATGCATATGTGTAAAATTTTATATGAGAAAAACAGTAACGCAGTGAGGTTGAAAATGTGTTCACTAAAAATATACAATGCAATAGAAATTCACGAACGGTCGCAATAAAGTTGAAATGTGAGTAACTAGAAACATTCATTAAAACATTCATTCTATACTGATAGAAAAACATTTCCGTTCTCTCTCTCTCTCTCTCTCTCTCTCTCTCTCTCTCTCTCTCTCTCTCTCTCTCTCTCTCTCTTTCTCTCTCTCTCTCTCCCTCTCTCTCTCTCGCCCGCTCTCTCTCTCTCTTTCTCTCTCCCTCTCTCTCTATCTCTCTCTTTTCTCTCTCTATCTCTCTCTTTTTCTCTCTCTCTCATTCGCACCCGCTATTTCTTCAGTCTCACAGTCTGGCATACACATGCTTATATATATATATATATATATATATATATATCACAGTACATCATTATGACAGGTATGCTTTTGTGAATAAAAAATGCTTCAGCTGATTTTTGAAAATAGAAATTGTTGTGACAGATCTTATGTATATGCCTATATCCAGAGATTGTCTTTGATTGCTTCCAGCTG